CCACCAGCACCGCACCAAGTACAGGGGCACAATCACTTCCCTACTCCTGCTGGCCACACTATTCCTGATACAAGCCAGGATGCCATTGGCCTTCTTGGCCACCTGGGCACACTGCTGGCTCATATTCAGCCGGCTGTCAACCAGTACCCCCAGGTCTTTTTCCACCAGGCAGCTTTCCAGCCACTCCTCCCCAGGCCTGTAGCGCTGCATGGGGTTGTTGTGACCCAAGTGCAGGACCCGGCACTTGGCCTTGTTGAACCTCACACAGTTGGCCTCGGCCCATCGATCCAGCCTGTCCAGGTCTCTCTGCAGAGCCATCCTGCCCTCAAGCAGATCAACACTGCCACTCAGTTTGGTGTCATCTGCAAATTTACTGAGGGCAAAAGTGGCAGCATATTAAAATCCACTGCAGCTGGAAATCACAAGCTCAAAACCACCTTGGTTTTCTGATTGTTCTGACCTAATTGACACCCTTTTGAACCTGCTTATTCACAGGGCAAATACCCTGATGTCGTTACCCTGCCGGAAGGACTGCAGGGAGATTATCTAACCCTAAAGAACCCCAAGCTTTCCGGGTAAGCCAATAAATACATTTCTTAATGATTGTGAAATGCATATTGACAATCCATACATAATCTGTCTGCCTGAACTTTAAGTCACTCTTTACTTCAAAGACAGAGATTAGATGATGTGTGTTACATTTTAGGGCTACAACAATGCATTAAAAACATCAGGACAAAAAAAAAACCAACCCTAAAATATATGTACAGGCCACATGCATGTGGCCTTTGTTAGGTAAATCAATCGCTCCTGTTGCTACTATGTGTACCCACTCTTTTGGGTGGAAAAAATAAAGGGCTCTAGCAGGCTTTTCATTCGCATTTTAAAAAAAAAATTGTTACTGTCTTGGGTTTGGAAGCTCTTGAAGAGTCTAAATTCAAAGTTTAGGAATGTGGGATGCATCTTCTCTCTCATGTGTCAGAAAACAGCTCAGGCTCAACTGGATTTGTTCCATCTTGGTTTTTCTCTGCATTATTCTAAAAAGGCCATGAACAGTGTCCTGGTGGACCTTATTCCAAGCCCAGAACATCACTATTTTATGCAAACACTTCAGAAATTATTTTCCTCTATTTGCATGCTGCACCTTAGGACCATACCTGACCGCAGGGCACAGATGGGAAGTAAGGGCGGGGGGCGGAATACCATCCCTCATTTTCTTTCCTATCTTACCTTTTACCACTGTTCCACGGGAACGTATCATTCATAAGAAACCAGGGGCAAAAGGCCTTGAGGTTGAAAATTTGAATGTGCCTGGAAATGAAGTAATAACCGTTCCTTGACAGCAGATTACCAGTTTTCCTTGGTTCAAAAGGTAACTATTTCAGATTCTCAGCTACAGCAATGGGTAAGCTGCGTTACTGGAGGTGAATCGTGTGAGCATCAGGATCCCAAGTACAGTACTTTCTGCTCTAAAGAATTATTAATGACAGTTGCCTAACTAACACTCACCTAACTTTTCTGTGCACAATACAGGTTTGAATTAATGATTGTATGGAAGATACATATAGATGAAAAAGGGAGAACTACGCCTGTTCTGGACCTCCTGACTAAAATACTGGCGCAAGGTAACGTCGGTCACTTCAGAGGCTGTGTCTGAGCTTTCAAGCCCGTCCCCTCTTTTTGGCCAAGGTCTCTTTAGATAAAACAGAAATCCATCTTGCAGGGCCCAACCAGGCCAGCAAATCCCAATTTAGCAAGCAGCTAAGCTTCACCTCCTGTGTGCTTTCCTCTTCTCCACAGCAAGTAACCTGTTTTACCCAAAAATGCAACTGCCAACAGCTGCTTTCAGTAGCAGCGCAGCCCTTGAAAAATAACGTTCACTGTTAATGTTTTTCTTGCAGTCTTGGAGCAGAAGATGGCAACTATTGAAAATGCCCCCGCTGGCTTCCGAAGCATGCTGCTGCTCTTTGGGATTGAGACAGCTATTGAGAATCTGATCAAAGTGTTTGGCTCAGAGAAATGAATACCAGCATTACGTACACCAGGTAGCAATTTCAAAAGTAGTTTTAATTAAGATATTGTGTTACACAGTCTATAATTTTATTGAATATAAACATTAAGTTATTTTCCATTTAGAAACCATACTCATAACACATGCTATCTGTACAGTTATGGCACGTTATATATAAATTGTCATGACATGAAAATAAATACAGCCATTTAAATACAAAAATGCCAAATAAAATAGTTACATGTACAGAGTGATTTCATTATAAATTTATCTTTCTGAATCATTAATGTACCAGAGTGGTTTTATCTTCTTAACATTTTGTAGATACCTGGAAAGTGTTAAAAGATCATGCACTGTCAAAATCAAGTCCATAAAAATGCATTTCATTTCACAGCTCTGTAGAACTACAGTGATTTTAAAATGACGAGAACACAATAAGACACTCAGAACAAAGAGTTAAATAGCTTGCTCATTAAATTAGGGTGGAAGGAGACCATTTGAAGATTTCAAAGACACACTGTGCTAAAAACCAACCAAACAAAGAAAAAAAAAAAAAAAAAAAAAAACAAAAAAAGGGTAAGTTTTTTCCACAATGTAAGTGTTAAATAGAGACAGCATTGAACTAAACAAGGAAGGGCTGTTACACTTCTGGAGAGAGATGGACAAGTCAGCTGCTGCTCACTGCAGTGCTTTGGTTTGATTTCCTACTTCTAGGGGGAAATTCTAGCAGGTAATGCATCACATTTCAAACATTCATCCCTGAAGAAACAAAACAGATCAGACAGGTGTCTTGTAATCTTCCAACCTGTACCACTCTAAGTCACGTCCCTTTTACGTGGGAGCCATGGTTCCTGTTCCTGGAATCAAGAGACCAAAGATATGAACTGTGGACTGGCAAGTTGTGTGACAAGCCTTCCTCTCCAAGCCCACAGCTGCTCCAACCATGCGAGCGGTACAACTGCCTGCTCCATTTAGAAGTTATGACAAAGTATTTTATAGCAATGGTGAAACAGGTGGGGAAACCAAGAACTAAAAGCAACAGTATGTTTATAATACCATCATTTTAATAATCCACTATTTGATCACTGAAATTGTCTCCTACTGCTCTGGTAGGTCAGGAAAAACTGACAGACCAGACCAGCTTCTGTCAGAATCTACAGCTGAGCAATGCCAGAGATCAAGTTTTGTTGAACAGCAACGTAAAAAAGTATGTTAGATATAAGGCAGACTAATTTCAAGTTTGGAATCCAGTAGACAGGCAAAATTCATCACTACTTTACCCACCAATACATTACTGGTTTAGATAGCTTTTGTGGAACCTTTAGTTTATTTCCTCCTTAGCACCTTCTTGCAGGGAAATGACACTGTTTGATCAAGCACATAGGCTTCTATTTGCATATGAAATGTGTGTAAATTACAGCATAAAAACCTAGAAACGTTCCAGCTGTGGATAGTCCTTCCTCTCCCCTCTTGCCTAGAAGCCGGAGGATTTCTGAATTTAAAAACAGCTCTCTCTCCCCCCAGGTTTTCTTTGGAAAGGGGTTATTACCGCTGTCAGCTACCAGCTTATTGCACTGCTGTGGCATCACATTTCCATGAGACACTGTCCCTGGGAGTGGAGCACAAGAGGTTGCTGACACAGGTCACTGCCCATAGCAAAGCTCTATTGCTCTGAGTGGCATTACTCTGTATTTTGTATTACTTCCTTGAGTTGTACCAATGTACAGGGGGTTCTGGGTTTGCTTTTTGGATTCCAGATAAAATAGAACAATGCAAATGTTACAGTGAGATGCCAATATATTTCTATTTTTTTAAATGTTAACCTATGCTATTTTGAAAAACATCATTACCAGTAAGCACACGCCATATCCAGGTAACAGCAGGTCACTTGTAGCTCGAATAGCATCTCTCCACACACTTCAGGGTGTGTAATCCCCAAGCATATGGGAAAGTGTCCCTAGATTTTATCGCACTGCCCTTGGTTTTGAATATACCCTCAGTCTCCAGCTCAGCATCTTCCTCGAGGCTGGCTTTTACTGCAACATCACACAGGACTTCAGCTGCACATGCTGATGGGCAAAGCTATCATTAAATCACCGAAGTAGTGACACAAGCTTAGCTCCTGCTCTCATCATGAGTGTGACCCCCTGCAGCCTCAGAAAATCAGATCCTGTCACCTTTTTCCTGTGTCACTTAAAACAGGACAAGCCTGAAAGCAGCTCCTCATGCTGTGCAGTAGGTGGGATATCAGCGAAATAATGCCAACATTTGACACAATCTGTAAAACTCAGAATATAATATTCTTATAGCTCAATTTAAATTAGGTAAGAGCAAGCTGTGGTTTCACCTTCAATAGCAGCATATAATGTGTAGAAAATAAGAGACCAGTATGTCAGATGGGCCAAGCCCAGCTGTCACATAAAATCCAAAGATGCTCACATTTATCCCTTTTCCCTTAATTTCAGAAGCTTTAGGTAGATACAAGGTGATGACAAAACTTCTGGAGGCCACCTGCCATTCTTCATCTCACGCATTAGTCCTTAAGTGTTCTGCCCTAACACAGTAGTGCCCCAGTTCAGCATCGCTTGTGTAGCCACCTCAGTTCTATTTTCAGTGGACTTAATGCTGAAGTTTTCTATTAGGTTTTGCCAGAGCAATCCCTCTCCCTAGCAGGTCCGAGTGAGACTCAAAGCACAAGCTCCAAGGCAACTCTCGTTAGTAATTAGGTTTTCTATATTAGTGCAATACTTAAGGAAACCTTTAATTCTGTGCTCTTTCAATTCTAAGGAAGTAGACTTTTAGTATTAATTTGATCTGTCCTCTAGTTCCAAGGTATGGCACATTACCTGCTCTGTCAATAAATACATTCATTAAGGTTATATAGCAAATGCGTGGTTTAGTGCTATTCCATGTCTTTGAAAAGGCAAACGAATCAGAAACCAGTTCTTAAAGCAAAAACATTCACAGCTGAAAAATGCACTGAACACGATAGGAAAGAAAAAATAATCACTCTAAGTGTATTCCATTGATCTTTCACTTTCTAATGTGTTTGAATAAAAATAACCTTAAGGAAATGGTTACACTTGATGGAGAACTAATGTGCAGTCTTCATTCTCCTTGAAGAGATTGGACATAACTGGGTCATCTTTGGCCTGTACATTCTTCAAATAGTAGTTTACTATCTTGCCATCAAGTTTGTACTGATGCGGAATGCTTTCGTAGGGCTTTAGGTCGAGGTCCAGGACAGAAACAGAAAAGGTGAATCTCGATTTGGACGTTAGTACCACAGGTCTCTGCTCAGAGCTGGAAAACAAAACCGTATTGCACCTCTGAGTCACTGAAGCCAGTGTTTTTCATTTGCGTACCCCGAGTCCCCTTGCAAAAGTGACTCACATTTATTTTAGAACTTTCATGAGAGCCTAAGAAAATACACTTCAGCTAACGCAGAGTTTAGGAAACTACAGCTCCAGCTTAACTAGTCTTGAAGTGAACTTGCTGGCACCTCTTCCAGTTGTTTTCCTTTCAGCTTCCATACAGCTTAAGTCAAAACATGACTCTCAATTTCTGCATCGAGTTTAGTGAGCCTAATCCATTCCTAGGTGATATGCGTACAAAGCAATAGCCTTCCTTATTGACTAGCAGAAGCAAAGTATCATTGAAGCTCCCACTTAGTTTCAAGGTAACACAAATTTAGTAGCAGAACTAGAGTCCAAGCATGCTGAAGGATGGAGGACTTGTTACCAAGTCAGTCAGTCAACCACTGCACAAGCCATCTCCCTCATGAACTTTTTGTTCAACTGCAGGGCAAACACAGAAAACAATATGCTCTAAAAGCAACGCTTTGGTGAAGCAAACTCCCCCAGGTTAAGAGCAGACTAAAACAGCCTGTGGCAAAGCTTCCTGCCTTACAGTGAGAGGTGTCACCTCTTGATTATTGCCTTGTTTTGACTGATGAGCTTAAAGACTTCTATTTTCCAATTAGGTGGTTAAAGGCAACTCATCTTGAAAAAACCTCTCATGAGGACACCAAGGCAGAAAAATTACACCTAGCAGAAACCATTTGTATCTACTATGAACAGTCAATTCACATTCCAAGAAGGGAATAAAAATAAAACCTTAACCCTTTTTATCAACTTAAAACTTCAGAAACAGACCTCTGTCCTAAACATCTTGAATCAGAATGCTACCTTAGTAATACGTTCACAGCCAAGTATTTGGACCACCCCCAAAAAACCAACCACCCACTTTTTTAAAGTTACTTGAATTGACTGAGCTGTGCAAAGGCATCTTCAGTTTCTAAATGAGGAGTTAACGCAAAAGCCGGTCTCGCTTACCATTCGTCTTGTAGGCAGGGTGAAAGGGCAATCATGATGGAGCAGTCTTTAGCAGTCATTGCTATCCTGTACTGCTGCACCTATACAACACAAAAATAACATGGATTTTCTATTATATTTGTATTTGCCTTAGTAGAACATGCTGTTCTTTATAAAAGGCATGAGTATACTCAGTGTACTAGTATGTTGGTATTTGAAGAGCTGGAAATTCTGTCTCTGTAAGAGGTTGTCAGCAGGAGCAAGTGGTTTTACAGCGTCCTGTGTAAGAATCATGTTTATTTCCTACAGCTACTTTTCTTGAACACCAAACCAGCACCAGTTTGTGCAAATGCGTCCTCAGTCTACAAAGGAAATAACCAGCTTTACTCTTCTCTCCAGAACTGGTGCTAAACATGTTTGGGTTTAACTGCTTCTGCTATCAGACACTCCCTAGGGCTTTAAGCATACAGACAAGGAGGGGTGATGCTAACACACTATCTCTGAATGGTGTTTTTTACAACTGACAGACTAAACAAGCATCAACAACATGCACAGGAAACATACCTTTGTTAATGCAAATGCTACCGTCCCATCATCTTCAGTTGAAAGATCTAGCAGCTTCTCATAAAATGCTTCATTGTAAGGTCCGTCTATCTGTAATGTACTTCTAAATAAATTTTAAAAGCAGATTTACAGACAGCCAAGATGATTTACTGGTTTTCAGTGAGATCTTTCTTCAGCAGCCCAGATACTCAGAAAAAAACAGTAACACCGATAAACATGGCAACAGGTTAACGCTCAGCAGTCTAACACCATGACTAGGCACTCTTATTCTCACCTCACTAAGAGACCCTGTTTAAGGTTGGTTGGTTGTTGGGTTGGGTTTTTTTTGAAGATGACTCATTCTTAATCTACCACCTGTGCATCACTAGAAGAACAGTATTTTTTGCAAAAATGAGTAAGTTTCAAAATTTGTAACAGTTTGCAGGAGCTCCCCAAAGACTTGCTGAAAACGCTGGGGGTATGCACGTATGGGACAGGCCCCTGCTGTGCCCCCAGCTTCATAACATGCGCTAACAAGGGGATGGTTTATCTGGCCTCCTTCCTTCCCATGTGAAATACCCAAACTCCTCCTGGAAAGCTGAACCTATAAAAGCAGGATTTGCAGCACACAAACACCCCACAGCTGGAAGAATACATTTTCAAATTATTTGTTTAATGTATAAATAAACGTACATGTAAGCCACACTGCAAGCAATTTAAGCAGAACTTGAGGCCAACCCATCGCCCATAACATAACCTTCAACGGGAGTCCCAGGGAGCTGAAGGAGCACAAGCAGCAGTGTCTTGCAAGTGAAGCCAGCATGCCCTCGTGTGAGCAACGGCAGAATTACAGGCAAATTACAGCCCGAGAATGCAAGAAGCTTCCACGTCAAGGTTTTTTTTATAGCAATTATTACTTCAACTAATAGGCTTTATTTGAGAACAAAGGTAGCAGCTTGCAGCGCCCAGTATTTCTTCACCAGGCAAGAAATGCTTGTGCCTCAAGTACGATGTGATTGCTTGTGGGTTACAACCTGGCTTAGAAAGAGTTCAGAGGAGAGCAACTAGGATGATAAAGGGACTGGAGCATCTCCCCTACGAGGAAAGGCTGAGACAGCTGGGCTTCTGCAGCATGAAGAAGAGAAGACTGAGAGGGGACCTCATCAAAACGTACAAATGTCTCAAGGGTGGATGTCACGAGGACAGAGCCAGGCTCTTTGCAGTGGTGCCCAGTGACAGGACAAGGGGCAATGGGCACAAACTGAAACATAAGAGGTTTCAGTTGAATATGAGGAAAAACTTCTTTCCTTTGAGGGTGACAGAGCACTGGAACAGGCTGCCCAGGGGGGTTGCGGAGTTTCTTCCTCTGGAGATATTCAAAGCCTGCCTGGATGAAATCCTGTGTAACCTGCTCTAGGTGAGTCTGCTTTAGCAGGAGGGTTGGACTAGATGATCTCCTGAGGTCCCTTCCAACCCTTGCCATTCTGTGATTTTGGAGCTACTCCCATCAGGCAACGAGGGCCGGCTGGCCAACACCAGGCACTGGGCCATTGCCCACTCACACCTCCTGTAAGATCTTGCAGGCACGGGCTGCCAAATTTTTCTGCCAAATAGCAAATTCAGGGTTCTAAAGGGCAGGCTGTAGGTAGCCAATATAGACTTGAGAAGGACATAAAACCAGTGTTGTTACTGCAGGCACAGTCCCAGCTCTGCAGGTACTGAAGGCAAGAGAAGCCAACCATCCATTTGCTGTCTTTTTCCTCAAATACACAACCTCCACTTCTAAGGAACTGGGCATTTTCTCTCTTGCTCTTTTGTGAACTTCCCATGCTCCTTACTTAAAAATTCAGTGACTGACATCAAAACTTTTAACAATAAAACTCTTAATCGGCACTGAAAAGAAAAGCCATTGAGTCTTACCTCTCTTCAGGAAACTCCTCTAAGTACTGTTCAACTCTACTGTACAAAGGATAGAGTCCTTCAATATCCAGCATGTCAAGCATCTGAGCCTGAAGGGTTTTATAAAGGAGACAACCCCTCGGTAAGCCAGAGCTTTCCAATTTATGTTTACCTAGAAGAAAATGTATTTCAAGTAAGGCGGACATGAGTGTCGTCTTTGCTTCATTTTGCCATTACCCCCGCTTGTTCACAAAGCAAATCCAAATACTCCTTAGACCAATCACGGCAGGGGGGACCCCAAACCAACACACTTCAGTTTCCAAACACTGTGCATGTGCTTACCTGCACATGTAAAGAGCACATATTTGACTGCAGAATAAAACACCCGGTACACAACTCTGCAAATTACCCAAAAAACCCCCAAACGTAAACCAACACTTCCATTGTAATCTACTTGTTTGAGTCTACAAGAGAAATTTTTCATATGAGCTTGAAGCCACCACAAATTCACTTTCAACAGCATGAACTGTTGGCAAAAAGTAATTTAGCATTTCAGTTATCAGGTCTTTTTAATATACTATAAACAGATTCATATTTGCTGTCATTTCTGTAAGAGAGCTCTTTCTCCCCACAATACAACAAAACCAACCAGCAATGAAAAAGATCTTCCTCAAAAACATGCTGTTTGTTAGTGTAATTAGGATAACTAGCAGCATCTCAAATAATTAGAGCTTTACGAAACTTAGGCACTGAGGAATTAACAGGATTTACAGTTTTCCAACTCTCACTTCCCATTTCTTTTCCCTCCAGTATTGACACCTTCCTCTTCACCAGGAGTGGAGTTGTTGAAGACAACAAGAGGTACACCCTGGCTGGGAGGGCTGACAGGAGGAGCAGGGAGAGGCAACAAACAGGCATTATGTAACAAACCAGCCGAGGCAGCCAGACTTCATCACACACAACATAAAAATTCCCCACTCACTTGAAAAACTCATGCTGGTATTTTCTTCTATTTTTCCTCCACCACCTTCTGAATTTATTTTTATCCCTGTCATTAGGTGCAGCACTAAAAGTGCTCACTACAAGGTCATACCAAAACCAGTTATCTAGCAGCTATGCAGCTCAGAACTGATTTTTAAAATGTCACTAAAACTCCACCGTTTCCATTCTCACATGAGTATTGATCAGCAAGTGAGAGGCAAGTATCTGAATCGTTATGTGGTAACAGTTAATTATTGACAGTGCTCAAGAAATTCTCTCTTACCATTTCTTACTAGCTCCTTATTAAAAGCACTTGCTTCACAGTAGCTTCTTCCTTGTGAAATGGGAACTGTCTTCATATCACCTGCCCTGCAGGCATCCGTACTACTCAGTAGCGCCATTGTTATAACATGGATTAATTCTTTAACAATTGTCCTTGTACAGTGTGGTCCACTGACCAACCCATTGGAAGGAAAAAAGAAAGGTTTCAAGTGACGAGCAAGTTCGTTCCAGTCGGAGACACAGTCCTGGTCATCTCTACAGCCATAAATTAGTTCCCCATTCTGCAAATGAGAGTCAAGAAAAAAAAAAAGCTAGGCACTTCATGAAATCCAGTTATTAACACTTAGTTAATCGAAGCATCAGATTTAAAGACACATAGCACAGAAAAGTGTCTAACAGCCTGCACACAAATATCCACATTCCCAATCTCTTACAAATTTGCTCTCAAGTTTAATCAGATACCACAGGTGACAACCTTTGAGTTCGGACCAAAAAGCCTATTTCAGTCAAGTGCTACTTCCCCAGCTTACTCAACTGTAAGTAATGAGAAGAACAGAAGTGAAGTGAACTGGCACTCAGCACGTTTACTTATTGCTTCTTTGAGTAACGTCAATAGTGAAAAAGCACCGTGTGAAGCAGCAACCTTCTTTTGAAAGCCAGATTGGAAAGCAGAAGACTAACAAAAGGGACAGAAAAGGGGGGATAGTTACCTGTACTAACAGCAAAAATGGGACAGTTCATACAAGCTTACATAATTCAAATAGTTGCTTTAATACTGGAAATAAGTTGTAAATAATTTTATTTCCTAAAATTAATCTGAAAATCTGCATAAGCCATCAGGTACTGCTTTCTATTTTTCCTGCATTACTGCCATAAAAAAGCTAATTTCATTTCCTCAGGGAGGCACACGATGTGTTTGGCTTGCACGAATGCTCTAACAGCAATTTATAAGTATTTGCAGCAAGATGCAAAGTTCTCCATCTTCTTCCTCCTGAAGAAGCACATAAAGTTTTAAAACTTTGGTCATCTCTACAAGTCCTTTTCTATTAGTTGTTCCTTGTCGATTCTTTCGGACTAAGTAGTTCCAGGGAATTATTACTTACCTTGTCCTAACTTGACACCTACCTAAGACTGTGCTCATTTTCTTCTTTTGGTGGGGTCTGACTGCAACAGTGCTGATTAGGTAGGTTTGAAGTAGGAGCTTGCCTGTTCAGATGCTGGAGTTAAACTGTTTAAAAGCCAAGGCAAAAAAAAAAAGCAGGCAGAGAGATTTGATTGCTTACCTTAAATATTTTCAAGTTGTTCTGTGCCTCCTGTAATAAGCTCTTCAAAGCAAAGTGCATTCTCTGTTTATTTCTAGGGGAAAAATAAAATAAAATCCCAGAATGTTTTATCACAGCCTTTAAGATGTTTGCACCCATGCCTGGAGGGCTCTGTGGAATCAGAATTGGGCACCTGAAATGAATGCACCCATTAAGCCTGTTACTCATGCTGAAGTCACTGCAAAGACACAGTGACTACTGGCAATTAGAGCTTCAAATCTGAGTAAACAGCTCTTTGGTTGTGTGTGGTGTAGCAAAAGGCATTGGTACATTAATAAGCAACTCTGATTCCTGAAATAGTTGTCAAGAGGAATATAGCACCAGACATGTCCGCTGTGAAAGTCAGACAAGCAGGCAACAATCATCCTTAACAAACACTTGGTGAAAGTCACAGTAATCTGAGAAACAAGTCTGTAACACAGGGGTTTTGGCAAAAACACAGAATCAAGTCACATGCTTCCTTACCCTGAGAAGAGATCCAATGGGCAATATTTACTTGGTCGCTTCCATTTTCCGTTCGCTACCTGTTGAAAACCCACACCACTGCTGTTAATCGCCTTCTGGAATAACGACTCTCAGTTATTTTACTAGTCAGGTGTGCGGCACTAACACCCTGCCTTCAGAAGCCCTATGATGCTTAAAACCCTTGGAGCGTACAATTCATGACTAGTAGGGGTCTTCCTCCCCGTATTTACCTCAAGTCACTCAAATTGCATTCACAACTGGAAAGCATGGCGAAAGGTCACATTAAATGACGTAAGGCACAGTCACACAATTTCTGACACATAATGAACATTAGTCAAATTAATTCCGTGTGTGTTACATCCTGTTACAAGTTACAGAATGCCACCATGCACTCAGCGAGCAGTACTTGAAAGGAAGTTTGACCCTGGAGTTTACTCAATCAACAGCATTAATAGTCCTCAAAGACTAATCTTGTATTTCTTCGCTTCCCACCAAACTTGTTCCAACTCTCACTAAACAGATTCACACCCCTCAACTCAGATGTGTATCCACCTTTAATCATATAGGAGATTAAAGCAACAACATGCAAGTTTCAACAAGAAAGCAAGACTAGAACAGCAAATACAGCAGTCAAAGGAAAGCAGGGTGACTACTAAAAAAAGTTACCTTTAGATGTTGATGCATACAGTAACGACACACCTTGTGCTTTATCTCCTGCGAAACATGGCTGGAAAAAGGAATGAAGCCACATTTTGGCTAAAACAAACAAACAAACAAAGATTATAAATATAACTGTATTTCTTTATGTAAGGGCACACAATATGCAAATCTTTCCAGTTAAAGGAGACTAAAACCAACCAACCAGTCAACATCCAATGTTTAAAAGCTTGCTATATGTCACCATATATTGTTCCCAGTTATTTTAGAGCCCTCACTTAAGAAATAAGGGCACACAAAACTGCTGTAGCCTACACAAAAGCCCAGTAATATCTAGGAACTTCCCAGGTTTTGAAAGATCAGAAATTCGAAGAGGGAGGGGGTATTTCATGCTGCGGGTCACAGTGAAACTTGCTGCATTCCTTTGAAACTGCTCTGGTCACTATGTGCTTAAAAATGCCAACACCCCCCCCCCCCAGAAGGATCTTCTTCAATACCTTAATCTCTATGCAGAGGATTGGCCGGTGTTCCACAAAACGGTAGGTCTGCAGCCTGGTAAGATTAGGAAGGCACATTGCATAACTACTAAGAGTGTCCATATCTTTATCACAGCGAGACTCTGGGGAAAAAAACAAAACAAAAACAACACAAAGAACAAAATTAGGTGCTTTGGTGTTTATCTTGTTCACCAGGCCTGGGGGTGGGAATAAACTTAGAAAGACAGACCACAGTTTAGGAGGCTTTGGCCAATCATGCACACGTACAGATCTGCTCTCCTCGTTACCAACACTGTCTTGAGTTTCCCCAGTCAGTTGACCAACAAGAGGTAGAGAGGCTCACTCCTGTATTCAGAGATGTGATCTCATGTTTGCTTAATGAAACTGCAGGCACTACCATCCCTTAGTCCAGTCAAGGGGAATCTGCAACAACTGGCAGGAATATCAAAAACTCTTCAGAAGTTCAGGAGCAAGTGTAAATCTGAACAGAACCTGCAAGTGGATTCGCTCAACTCCTCAGCCTGCACGTGGTCTCCTCCTACCCATTCCAGTGCTTACATCAAGATAATAAATAGGTGAAAAGGAACACAAGGAACAAAGGTTTGCTTCCACCTCCTCACAAGCTCACAACCTGGGACAAGAATTTCCTCTGCTAAGACCACCCTTTTAAAAATCACACTGTTTGTTTAATGTAGTCCAGATTAACAATCCCAAGAAGAAACAAAGTAACAAAATGGTTTCGGACTAAGATTAAGAGGCACTATGTAGGTAAAGCCTTTAAATAGCCTCCCTCCACCCACATCCTTTGGGGCAGAGAAAGGTCTGCGAGGTTTTAATTCAAATTTAAGAAGAACATACGCTCCTGGATTTTCAGATACGTATGTTACTAAAGAGACACACAGAATATATATATTCTGTTATAGCTTCCATTGCTAAGAAAAATTGTCCATTCTGAAAAATATATTGCAATAGAAAAAAAAAAATGCCAAGAAACAGAAGGTTCACTAGGCATTAGCCTGCAATTACATGCTGTACTTCACTGGGATGAGCAGGAAGAAACCTTCTTTCTCCAACAAAACGCTGAGGTTTGTTTTTACATCCATGTTCATCTGGAAGCCACTTGTCAAATCAGATACATGCAGAAATCTGAAGTATGAGACGTTCCTTCTTAAGGTAAATAGGCTTATTGTGAAAGGTAGCATTAAAGGAAATTCCTTCCTTGAGGTTTAAAAAAATTCCCGTTAAAAATGAACAATGAGATTTGCTGTTATAAAGCAAGAAATACGACTCAGACAGGCTCCTCACAGCCACACTTCTTCCTCTAAAGAAACACCCACAAGCTTTAACAAATAAAACTTAACTCTGCCATTCACTCCTACCAGAGCATCACCAATTTGTAACTTTTATTAGACACTATTTACTTTCCTTGCTAGTGCCGCAGTGCCAGAAACCATTTCTCAAAAACGTGAGGACAAGTCAGCAATAGAGAGTGTGCTCTCTATATGTAAATTAATTCAATTTTTTTCCTGGATCAAAGGCATCAAAGTACTGGCTACAGTTACCAAAGAATTTAATACCACATTTTTCTTCAAGGAATTCTGCTAAAGAAGGAGTTCCTGGCCATTCTCAAGAACATTTGAGAATGTAAGATGAACACACCACGAAGGCCATCTCCTCTTTGCCCATTTTAGAGCTCAGACATTGCTGTACTTTTAGCCATACAGGAAGAACGATGCACCAAAGCATTGCTGACTAAGAATGATGACACCAGATTCTGAAGCACTTCACACTGAACACGTCAGAGATTGCCAAACTTCGAGTCTTGCAGCATGTTCCACCAAAAGGTTTTGCAAGGTCAAGGCACCCTTTACCTCACGCATTTGTCCCCTTCGATCCCTGCCCAAGGGGACCAGCAAAGCACACTTGGACTTCACCACTGAATAAGGGCCCCAGAGCACCACGCAGGAGTTGGGAGAAATCAGGCACAGCCCCGTAGCCCAGAGATGCTCCTTAAACATGACTGGCAGCACAGCCCGTAACACTGCAACCCCTTGCAACGAGACATGCCAGCTGTTGGGAGAAGAGAAGCGAGAAGCTGGAACCTCCAGTTGCACGCTGCTTGAGTGCTATCACTTGTAAGATGCGAGATGCTTGGCCCCAAGTGAAATACTAACAGTGAGAACAGGACAGTTTAGTGGGGAGATTCTGAAACTATCTTCCTTCCAAAGCTCTGCTGCACAATCCAGAAGAAACTGATGGAATCGAAACAATCATGTCAGGATGCATCTTCCACCTCCCTCACTGACCTTTGTGAAGGACTTCACAGCAAGGTGAAAGCTTGCTCAAGATTTAACAAACACAGGCTTACAGAGGGTCCCTCTCCCCAGTTTAATGAAACTAGTAACAGGTGCAATTTTTCATTCTAGAACGCACACATTTTTCCTCCACAAATTTTCAACATGTCACTGTCTAAATATTGAAAAAAGTTTCCTCATATTCTGAGGTATGATGCTTTTTACTTTCTAACAAAGCACAATGCTTTCCAGCTTGAGGAAAGCCCCCTTTTTAATGCTACCCCTGGCACTTACCTGGCCTCTCGGGCTGAATTTTTAAACAGAGCTGTCTTACGAAGTCTAAAGGCAGTTGAATAATTTCCTATTAAAAAAAAAGAAATGTATATTTCAGCACAAAAATTAATATCCAGTTTGGTGGTCCTAAAATGGAACAACAAAGTTCAATGGATGTTAACAACAGTGTAACAGCAACAGTGTGACAACACCTTTTCCACTCAGGTTTGGTTAAGTAGCTCTGGCTGCCCTGAAGAACAGGGTTACCTCTGACTGCACAGAAACCTAAACAAGTCACAGGAACCAGATTTCTCCCCTTGTTTCACAGTTAAGTATAAAAATATCTCTCACACACCTCTCGCCCTATGCAGTAGCGTGAAGTAGCTCAAACCACAGAAGACAACCCAATCACCTCATCAGCACAGAGCAGGATCTTTGTTCTGATCCAAACACTTTTTCTGTGGGCATATCTTGCTCGAGAAGATCTGCAAAACCTATTAATTCCTTAATTCCTTTTATTGGCTTTTACTCAGTGTTTACAGTGCATAAGCCATTTATTTTAAGAATAAAACATTTACCCCGTGGTGAACATAGTTCTCCCCGAAGAACTGCTTCATGACATGTTTTCCAAAGTCTACGATGTTTTGCAGATGATGTAGAATTTCCTCTGAAGTCTGGGAGACAGAAACATGGTAAATTAACGATGAAATAACAATAAACAACACTCAAGAATACATACACATACTAGCCAATGATTTAGGCTAAGTATCTCAGTTGCTCTACAGAGTTTAGTAGGTCAGTGCATGTTGAAATTAAACAGACACGTGAAATGTCCGCTTCATTTGTTTCCCTACTGCTGTCTGACAGGCTGGGATAACCAGGAAAACAGGCAGAAGAGATGAAAGGAAAAAGGACAGAGATTAAAAAGGTGGAAGAGGAGGATACTACTCAAGATCTAAGGTCTTTGACCATTATTCTTACAACAGCTCAAAGAACTGTAATAGTCAAGAGATGCACACCCTGCGTCTTACCAACAGGTGAAGTACAGGAGAGGGTTTGAGTGTTACAAAATATTTCACCTGGAAATTTGGAAGGGAACAGCCTCAAAGACTGAGCCACATGACAAACTCAGTATGAACAGGTATAGAATTTGCCAAATCCTGCCCCAGACAATGAAAAACCTTACGGTAATGTCATCTTCCATTAATTTTATGTATCTGTCTGTAAGGAAACACCAAAGTTCCACCAAAGGAAACATAAGACAAAAACGCCAAGCTAGACAGAAACGAAGCTAAATGAGCACTGGAAGCAGGGCAGTGACATTAGCGCCATCTGACTCTGGCAGACTCATTAAAGAGGTAGCAGAGCAGCTTTACAACAGTATTATCCCATTCCCAGCACTCCAGCCCGCTCTGCTTCTCTGCATTGTATTTTACGGTTACGACAGACAATCCCCATGCTCCTGCATCCTTTTGTAACACAAAGCTTTTCTGGAAAAACACTACTTTGCCTACTGCTGTATGCTATAAAGCACTGAACCATACAGATTTACTCTTGGGATTGAGTAACAGTGGAGAAGGAGAAAGTGCAACACTCATGTCAAAGTTAGACCATCAGAGAGGAAAAACAACAAGAGCAGGAGGGGGAAAAAAAATTAACAGAGAGAAAATAAAATGCTAGGAGGACAACACTCACATGACAAAGTCAAGCAAAAGGAGGAAAGACCACACCCAACACAAATTAAAAACTTTTATAGATAAGAGGAAGTTGTCACTAACCAAGCAGTCTTACTTTGTTCTATAATACCATCATAACAGGTTTTTTTTTTCCCCCACCTGGAAGGGTTTGTTACATAGCAGACTCACACAAGTCGCGTAGGGCTAAGGAAGATTTCTTTGCTTCCATAACACAGATCTGCTAAGATTACATACGGAGTTTAGCAGTCCTCTGCCAGCAGGATTAGTTTTCCAGACTGAAGCAGCGATAGACAATACTGCGATACACAGTAATGCTTTACAGAAAGAAAAGTCACCGCAGTAACACACGACTAGACACTTACTTCGGTAACGTACTGTACTACCTGCTGTTACTTCAGTATGCAGAGCACTAACCAAAAATCCCAACCCTTAGCAGCAAGTAGGAAAACCACAATTTTTCCGAAGCACTTGCACAGCATTTCCATCATTCTGTAAAGGCCAGGAGAGTGCTTTATTCTTTAAAACGCTTGGCATATTGTACGTGGAGTTGTTTCTCAGAATGGCTCTCCCTAAATCCTCTGAAGCAGGCCAAAATAAGCTTGGAGGCTCTTCACAACAGGCAGCCTTCCACTGCTCGAGTCTCAGCACAAAACACACGCTACGATGCCTGAGCAACTGTCTCAGTTGGAGTCATCTGTTCTAAAGAAGTGTATTTAAGAAAAAATAATTCATGAGCAACAAGATGAGCGGGGCCACCCACATGGGTATGCAAAGGGGTATCTGCAGCAGCATTGCTCAGTCTGCGCTTCCCCGTAAGGCCAGCGCCCCATCTAGTGCTGAGGATACCGAGGTCCATCAGAGGACCGCTGGCAGCCTGAGCTCCTTTGCCCCTCTCAGCCAGAGATCACCACGGGGTAAATCCCTGCTCCTCCACGCTCCCCCAAGGAGACTGCAAACATCCTGCATCCATCCATCCATCCCCCCACCCCCACCCCCACTTCATTTGTTCCAGGCTGGGGAAGAAGCTGTGGCTTTGCAGAGGGGAAATCCCCTGGCAATTTAAAATGTCAGTAGATACAGTAAGTATCTTCCTCACCTGATGAAGTGGGAAACTGCAATTCTGAGCACATACAACAGCAAAAACTTCACTTTAGATACAGATTTCTGCCCTGTTAGTGACAACGTAACCCTTTAACTTACACAAATTCTGAATGGTGAGAAGGAATGTTGCATCATCTCATACAGTAACAGAAATTCAGCTAATTCCCACTTACAGATCATTCTGAACTAGTTTGCTGATGTGTAGAGCACCCACAGGCTTTTTTATTTTTTTAACATATGTATGTAATGTATACATCTACCTATATTGGGAAATAAGCATTTTGAAAGATCAGGACATCCACTACTACTACAAGAAAAGACTCACCTGTTAAAAAGATCAATGCAACTTTAAAATTACAAATCAAGCTTATGACACCTGCTCACCTTCTTTTAAGAGCACATATATTTGATATACTCTAAACAAGGAAAAAAACCAAACCCAAAACAAAAGAACAACTGACAGGCTACCAGAGCATCACCAAAATACCAAGATGAAAAGCTGTTGAGGAACCCGTCATTACTGACAGCTCCTTTAGCAAAACACTAAAACTCATCAAATAGGTTCTATACAACAAAGAGGCAAAAAAATCATTCATAAATGATATATGAGAAGACTCATATACCACAATCAACAACATGCAACTAAAACCATTCCATGAGTCCTGACACTTGACTTGCTACTCAAGAAACACAAGCCCCAGAGTTACATTACTGATTATGAGTATTTTTCATTAAAACACTGAACTGTAACAATAAGATTCCAACCTGCAAGAACACCACCCTGTTTAACTACGAGATTACCTAGTCCCAAATTCACAACCAAACAGTATGAATACAAAGCAGCGTCCAGACTTCTTTACCTTTTCCAAAGGAGTTAAGCAGAAGAAACTGAGACACATTTGTCCACATCTGGACTTCAGCACACTGCTTTACTAGAAAAGATTTTGCTTCAACTGCTTCTTTCAGAGTTGTTTACGTTGGATGAGCTACTATGTCCTACACAGATATATAACACTTTATATCCTAACTCATCTTGCACTACTCAGGAACACAGATTACACCTAAAAAACATAAAAACATGTTCTGCTCTACAGCTGGCACATTGCTACATCCAAGTTTGTCCCAAAGCTCTGATTCTCCAGCCCTTGTTTACAGATCTAAAGATAAAATATTTAGTCCTCCATTCTGCTCCAAGAAAAACTGATCCTTTAAAAAAAAAAAAAACACTAATCACCAGAATAATTAAGCAGATTCAAATTACAGAATCTCCTATTTAGAGAGCAAAGCCCAAAAGAACCGTACATCACAAAGTCCCCACAATTACAATTCAAGACAAATACAGAATGCTGGAGCTGGCCACAAGCCAGCTCTCCTCTAAACTTCATAGAATCATGGAATCATTTAGGTTGGAAAAACCCTATAAGATCATCAAGTCCAACCATTACCCTAACCTCGCCATCCCATCACTAAACTAAGCACCTCGTCTACCCATCTTTTAGATACCTCCAGGGATGGGGACTCAACCACTTCCCTGGGCATCCCCTTCCAGTGCTTGACAGCTCTTTCAGTGAAAAAAATTTTCCTAATGTCCAATCTAAACCTGCCCTGGCACAACTTCAGACCATTTCCCCTTGTCCTATCACCTGTTACCAGGGAGAAGAGGCCGACCCCCACCTCGCTACAGCCTCCTTTCAGGTAGTTGTAGAGGGCGATAAGGTCTCCCCCTCAGCCTCCTCTTCTCCAGACAAAACAACCCCAGATCCCTCAGCCGCTCCTCGTAAGACTTGTGCTCCAGACCCCTCACCAGCTTTGTATGGAGCAGGGTTGTTTGCTCTTACAGTGCGCATTGATCAGTCCAGAGCAAGAACTTGAGAGCCACTGTTTAAAACAATTTCAGAGGTACGCTCTGGCACAGCATGTACCCACAAACAGCCTTCCTGCTCTAACGACAGTAAGAAGAGAAGCGTGTCTGTCTGGGGCGACTATGAAGGGAAGTTTTGCTAACGCTTTATAGAACGCAAACTCTCAGTGCTTCATCACCCACAGGAATACCTACTGCAATCCATCTCCGTGCTTGGAAGGATTCTGAGTAATTTTACTAATCTGATTATCCGGGGGCGGGGGGGAACCCAAACATTCAAGAACCTGAATAGTGTTCAAATGCTAACAGAACACCATGCCCAGGAGATATTTTTTTTCCCTGTGCTTCATTATCCCAATCCAAAAAACTACACGCATACCAAAGCAGCCCACAGAAGCATTATCAACTGCAGCGCTGCAGTGGGTAACTGTGAAAAGTCACTTCCTGGCTTCCTCTGCAAGTTCGTCAGACTTTGTCAATTTTTTAAAAAACAATTACTACGCAACAATCTCTTTGGACATAAAAACCCCAAACAAGCAAGCAAACAAAAAACCCAAAAAGAAAAAAGCTGATAGTGTTTTGTTTTCTTACATAAATGGCAATAGACTGACTTTTTACTTAAACTTGCGGTCTAGTTCTCCCTGCTGTATTAAAAATTGAGATAGGCACGGTTTTCCTTTCTTCCAGTCCACTGGGTTCTTCCCTGTTCCCATAGAAACTCTCAACATTATTATCCTGAACAACTACAGAAGCACAGGATACGTTTTTGAAATCCTGCCACTATAAGCAGATCAAAAACTTACCCAAATCACACTTTAGTTTCATCAGATTTTTTTTTCCAAGTAAAATAGTAGCAGAAAGGCCATCAAATGACTCGTACACACACTGTGTTCTTGGGTTTTACCTTCTCCTGCTTTCCTCTGATCTACTTTAGAAACGTCTCCTCTTCTGTCCCTCGTTCAACCAGACACATTTTGCATTCATCTTCCTGACTAAAAGCAAAACACCCTTCCTATATGTTTCTTTTTTCCTAAAATTAAGCACCCGCCCCCAGCTCTCAGTATAGCCTTAATGTTTTTTGTATTTCTTTCCCATCAGAACAGTCTGCCGCCGAACCCTACAACGCCGTGGTTCAGAAGCTGCCTTAACTCAAGCCATCCCCTGTATCTCTTGGGTAACAAACCCTGAAGGCTCCTCACCAGGTCGAGGAAACGGCAGAATTTGAAGCCCCTGCCTCTTGTGCTCTTTTTCTTTTCAGCAGTGTTGACACTGCACTTTTACCCTTCCACCTTTGATTTTTGACCATTTTTTCTCTCTGTTAAAGCAAATCTAAGGTAAATCACTTCAGTTCCTTCTCAAGCAGAAAAACCTACCACAGCCCAAGAAACTGGTAGACTGTGTCATGCCATGTTCTTTTTACAGCAGACAGCACCTAAAATCACTCCCTGACAAAGGCTATTCTGTGAATATTTCGTATTTTTGCCCAAACTCCATGGCTTCTCAGCTAATCAACAGCAGACCTTTATCATGACGCCAGTCCCATGATGTTCCTCTTTGGTCCCACCTAGCAACAGTCAGTAAAACTGTCATTTCTTCCTCAACATCACCCCACTTGCACGTTGACACGCAACGTTAGCACTTTCTCCATTGTCAGAGCTATCCTTGCAGAAAGCCGTACCTTCTACACACTGCACTCTTCCAATCTGTCCCTGAACAAAGGTCTCAGTATCAGCAGTCACATAATGTTAGTTGCGTAAGACCACCTCAAATTTCCTCCTGTTGCCAAAACTCTTGAAACACTGGCACATTTCAAAATGTCCCCTTGTTCTTACTCCTACCAGTCACAGCTCTTTCATAGGTTTCCTGTTTCTCTTCAGACTGGTTATCAGCTTACCTGGAGGCTTTTATCAACAACACATGCTCAATCTTACCTTATTCTGATTTGGGGGGGACTTCAAAAACCGCAGCACCACGCAGCGCTGAAAAAAGATAGGAAAGGATACAGTGTCGTTAGCATTTAAGGGCATCATATTTTCTGAACAGCACAATTGTCCGATTCCCCAATCTACCTCATCTGAGAAATTAAGGAGAAAAAAAAAAGAGAAGCAAAATAGGCATTTTTTAGATGGTTCTTTCACTCAATTTGAAATCAAATACATCAAGTATAACAAGGGAAATAGTCCCTCAGCTTATAGCCCTGGTCAGAAAATCTGGTAAAACACAGCACCAAACAAACAAGCGGAAAAACACCCTATAATTTTTGCACCAAAGATCTTTGGGGGGGAAAGAAAAAAAGAAAGGAAGACCCACTTCAGTATCTTCCGCTTACAGCATCAGCACAGCATTACAAAACACTAAGGAGATACTTCTCAGTTACCAGCAGCAGCTACACAGCTCTAGTTATAAACCTGCTAAACTAAACCCTGCTACTTCTAAACTTCAAAAAAGTAAACATGTAACACTGGGACAAATGCAGCACGTTTCCTAATATTTTACCTTAAAAAAAAAAAAAATAATCAAATTTTTGTTGTTTTTACCATTTCTATCGAATTTTGTAACAATTCAAGAACCTTCATATTTTCAAAATACACAAATTCTAAAAACATCCTCAGCTTTTTTTTTTTTTAAAAGTTCAGATAAAAATGCTTTTTAAATGTCCTTTCTCCTTAAGCCTTTTAACAGAGTCTCTTCCCTCAGAAGTCACCTGAAGTATCTTTCAGTAAAACCTGACTGAAATTAACCATTGTACTTGGGAAATATACTTTTATATTAAAACAAATTTTGACATAGTATTAAGGAAACTGCAGCCTCACTAGGAAAGGCAAGACACAACCTTGCCTCAGATTAGTCAGTCTAAATATCTGATCTTCAAGGTGTTTACTCCCACTGATGTATTTGGGCCTACCCAGATAAGATACGGATAAAACCAATCGGGCACCACAGTAGACAAGAGACAAACAGCTGTTTTCTAGAGTTACCTCTTAGTCACTTGCCATCTCCGTTCGGACCTTTCCTAGGCACACCGAAACGACTATGTTCCATTTAAAGCACCAAAAAAGTACCAACACTCAGATTCCCTGACAAAGGTAATGCAGACAAAATGTCATAGTTACACTTCAGGTTTACATAATCTAAGCTTTTTCCCCTACCAAACGACTCGCCGTTAAAAAACCTCCCATAGCGCACAGCACCAGATATATTCCATGTTTCAGGGCTGAAAGCTGCCTCTGGACAGCGCTGAGTGGGAGCGCACTGCAGTTTAATTACTAACACATCAAGAAAGAGGAGGAGGAGAGAAGCAAAACAGATGAGAGTGTGTAATCCAAAATACTAACAAAACGAGATCCAGATTCAGACATTGCCAGTGAAACCCAGGAACAGCCCTTTCCATATCTAGAAAGTCTCAGGCCAGCATAAATCTCATCATTCACCTACACCTGGAAAGCACTCCCAAGTAAAAGGATACTTTGCTGAATTTTGATTCTACTTGTCCTGCCAGATCTAAACAGCAATGAATGGAAAAACTGAACTCTGATTATAACCCCCCAGATTTGACAAGCTTGCTGGGCAACACTTACTCTTTTTCTCCCCTTATGAACCACAGGTGGGTAAACAGAGCCCAGGTCTGATAAGCCCATATGCTCCGTGCATGCAGGATGTTAATTTCACACTATTTCAGCTGTTTGGATCCCCTGCTTTAAATATTCATTAAAAACTGGATCAGTGATGGAGTGACCTGACCGTCACTTCTCATCAATTCAGTAACTTGATTCTGTAGTATTTCAGGGGCATTGTAGATGTTGATCTATGAATCAGCTCCCAGCCAGCAAAGCTTCCAGCCACCACTCTGGAAAATCCCATTGCTCTCGCAGGACTCACTACAGTATTTTTTCATTACCAAATCATTTCTAAAGAGGCATGCTGGGATAAAATGACCACAACGACATATGGCTAAAGAACACCACACTGCTTCTCTAAAGACGTCAAAAAGCTCAGCCAAAACTTTTCAGTGACAGATGAACTTCAGCCAGTCAGCCCGCACTGTGCCTTAGCAAAGGCTATTAGATGATCGGAGTGGGGAAAAAAAACAACCCAACCCAACCCCCCCTACCCCACACACACCCCCAACCAAAAACCAAGCCACTTTTTTCTTTTTTGGGGAGAAGTTTTCAGCTAGATCCATGCCTTTGTGCAATTCCACACACAGGTACACAAATACACTGCCACAGTACAAAGGTTGACCCATCAGATGTCCAAGATGCCAACTGCTTCAGAACTATTACCACTGAAAATGCTGGTCCACACTTTTCATGCTATTGCATTACAGATTCACTTGACTGATTCTTTACTTGGAAATATTGTGGGTGGTTGTTACCATGAGGCTTTCTGTTAGTTATCTTAAATGCCTTCAGGTTTTTTATATATATATATTTACAGATTGAACATCAAAGATGTAACGTGCTTATCTGCATGCAAAAGAACGGCCCAAATCCAGAACAGAACAGATTTCTTAAGAGGTTGTCCCTACTCCTGCACACTTTGAGGATCAGATCAATTAGATCCTAATGCTCGCTAAATGTCATTCTCTACATCCACCTCTGTAAGCCCTTCCACTGCTTAACACCACTACCATCAGTGCCCTATTACCATCAAAGCATTCAGTTAATCAGATAATAGTCCCATACAGACAAAAAGATGAAAAAAAACAGGCTGCAAAATCAAGCAGAGGGGGGAAAAAAACAAACCAATGCAAATGCACAGAGGTAGACAAATGTAACGCATGAAACATTAAGAGGCTCCCCATCTTTTGAAGAAGCAAGACCAGCTAGAAAAACAGTGAATTCAAAGGAAGAATTCTGCCTACAATTTTTTTTTTAAAATCAGCAGTCCTGTCTTTGCAAGTATGTTCAGTGTCCAGTCAGTGACAAAAGACTAAAAAAAAAATTTTAAAAGGCCATCAGAATATCAAACATGACTACTCTTACTCTCCAAATACAGAATTTAAGCACGACTCTCACATGACAGCACAGCAGTCTGATAACAGATAACAAACAACATTCTTGCTGGTGCCCCGGACCATACCAGGGCTACAACAAAAAACATTTCCAATTGTTACAGAAAACTCAAAACAAATGATAGCAACAAGGATACCAAAAATTCTGACTCCTCAAAACACATCCACAATCGCCCATCTACCGAGATGACGTTACCGGGAGCCCATGTTCTGGAGCACTATCTCAAGCCACAGGGCGTTGAGACTCCAACCTTAAGCATAAGGTCCCACCCAGGCAGGCAAACACTTCTTTAGCACCCTATTTCAAAACAATTGTTTGGTTAAATCATAACTGGAAGTTAATGGTTGCCAATAAAAAGAGAAGAAGCTGTGGAAGGGACTGTGAAAACAGACTCAAAGAAGTTACGGGCATCAGGGAAACACACAGATGCATACACACAACTCTCGTCCTAACATGTCTTGGGGAAAAAAGTAGTTTGCTGGTCTTAGTCCCCGCAAGGGTTATCTGCAAGGATTTTTCTTCTCCAAAGCAGTTACTACAGCTTTTATTTTAAATTTTACTTAGTGAAATCAGAAATCAAAGTAATCCTTGGTAGTTAGGCCAAAATATGACTGGCATCAATCCAGGTACTTTGGATTAGGCAGTAGCATTATAAAACCAGGATAAAAGCTTACATTTATTTCTTTACAGCTTGATGTTGAATATTGGCCTTACATTTTCCCCAAATGTCTTCTCAACTTCATTATCCTAAGATCACACTACCATGCAGGCCTCCTGAACTGCAGAGTTTTCACAAGTTAAACACAATTGGAGCACACCTATAATCTTGATATTCCCCTTCAGGAAAAAAAAAAACAAAACACCAACAAAAAAACAACCCGAACACCTCAGTTTGCATCACTGAAGTTTTTTTTCAAGTTTCTGTCTCTTGCTACATTATTAACAGAATCTGTACAAGACCTGGTGCCAGTGAAAGAAATAGGAAAGTTTGTGTACAAACAAGCTCAAATACTGGTAAAATGGTTTAGAAGTACAGAAAGATGTGTATTTTCCTTCTGTCACCACCTCAGCTCACACAGTTTTAAAATAAGCTGTGTGAAAATATGAAGAATTAGCCTGTCCAAACAGAAAACCTGGGAAACCTCACTTCAGCTTCTGCTTTTCCAAGTAAGCAGGTTCACATCATTTGTCATGACTCTACTGTTAGTCTAAGCAGCATGCATTAAGTGTTTTTGTCTAGAGGCAAAGCATTACTCTGACAGCTTGTTCTGCAACTGCCCAGTGTAACTACAACAGATGCTCATCTACGTGATTACCAACCTGTGCTCACATACGCAAGATCTACTGGTAGAAACCAAGGATATTTGGGAGATAACTCTAAGTCCCCAAAGGAAATCCACCCCTCTTCCCACTCCCCTCATCTCCCTCACTCCACACGGTCTCATAAATTGTGGTATTTAAAAACTCACCGGTATTTTTGTAAGCTCCAATTGTAAACAATGTGGGGGAAAACACTCAAAGATTGGTAACAAATCTTTGCCTACATTTACTATTCATTGCAACCAATTACACACACCACCACAAACTCCTGCCTAAGGAGATGAATATATGAAGCCAACTACTTTCAGAGAGAATGGTGCCTGAGTAGGCTCTTGAGTTTCTTTATACAGTAAAAAAATGGATGTTTAATTTGTTGTCTTTTGCTGAACCTAAAGAGCTCCCAAGGACTTCCTGCACACAGCTTTATGTATGGCAAACCTCCCACCACCATTGTAGTTATGCCATGCAACCTAATCATAGTGATTTACGACAGTGTACAGCAATGACACCTACAAAAAGTGCATTCTGTCTAAATTTCAATCAAAGGGAGGGAGAGAGGTTAAATTACACTAAACTGCTCTTCAACCCCTACTTGAACACTGTGATATGCAAATACTAATTAATGACCGTTCCAATGGTACTAAATATGAACTATGAAACACTTTGCTGATATTAAGCTACTTCTGCAGTAGCGCATTGGAGCTGCAATGCAGTATGTGCCAACTAGAAAAAATATTAT